AGGAGAGGGAGGGAAGGAGGGGGGGAAGAGAGCAAGGTAAGAAAAAGAGTGGGTCAGCACAAGTAAAGGAGGGAGGAAGGAAGTGGGTTAGTGAAGTAGTGAGAATTGAAGAGGAGAGGGGAACAGGGGACAAAAGAAGGGAGCAGAGAGGGAGGGAAGGACGGAGGGAGGAGGGTGGTAGGGAGAGAGGGAAGGAGGGAAGGAGGAAGGAGGAAGGGGTGAAAACAGGGAGACGGAGGGATGAAAGGTGGGAATAGAGAAGGCAGGAGGGGAGACAAAGGGGGAGGGAGTGAAGAAGGCAGGCAGGGAGTGAGGGAGTGAATAATGCAGCCAGAGAGTGAGAGGAGTGATGGAGGGAGGGAGGGRAGAACAGATCAAGGAGGCAAAAAGAAGTAGAGAGGGCGAGAGGGAGGAAGCGAGCAAGGATGAAAGAGASGTTGCCAGAAAGAAGGAGACAAGGAGTGGGGGGAAAGGGATTGAGGAAGGAGGGCAGGTGGAGGGGTATGCAGGAGGGGTCGGATGAAGCAGGCAAGATGTGAAAGGGGGAAGGAGGGAACAGATAAAGTGAGGAAGGGTAAGGCGTGAACAGAGTGAAAGGAAGACTGCAAATGAAGTCAGTTAATTCACCTGAAAGGACAAGGGAAGAAGGGATGAAGAGAGGAAGGGCGCGAAGGAAAAAAAAAGAAATGATGCGAGGTGAAAGGCAGTAAGGAAGGAGACCAAGGACGGATTGCTGCTAGTAGTGGAAGGTGCACTACGATGCAGTACGTTTACTTCGCAGAGCTAAAACCCTCACCAGGAAGAAGAGGGTTCCTCCAGAAAACAAGTGTAGTATTTAGAGGGATAACGAAGATTCCAGAGTGACCTTACTTGTGATGAAGCAGCACTCCACGTACTCCATCATTCTCCCTGCAAAGAGTGCCCAGTAAGTAACCAAAAAAAAAAAAAGAACAAAAAGAGTGCCGACTGTCCAGTAAGACATTTCATTGCACATGGTCACTCTCATCTCTATCTGAAACAGAGAACAAAGAAAAGCAACCTCTTTCAACCCCATTTTTTCTTGAAATTGCTGAATCTGACACTCCTTGGTTTATGCGTCCCACAGAGACCATGCTTGCTGCCTCTGCGCACCGGATGTCCAGGATGACCTTTTGAACATCCTCCGCCCTTCTAGCTCCCCCCGAAGAATCAAGCGCATGCGACAGAAGACGGGAATGAATAAGAGAACAAAGCACTTCAGTGCTGTTGGAGGGGAAGTGTATGCTGGGTACTTGCTATTTACGTATTGAGCACATCGGTTCTTCTGGCCATAACGAAGGGAAGTGTATGCTGGGTACTTACTACTTATGTGTTGAGATGACTTGCCGGTGGAAAAGGCCCTGGACTGTCGCTCCCCAGAATAACGCAGCCAGGTCCATAGGGCCTTGTTTTCTTCAAATGAGTGCACACATTCACAGTGCAACGAACCTCCCAGTTCAACACCAATGAGTGCACACATTCACACCACTTGCATGCATGAGGTCACACGAAGTTCACACTGAAGACCAGAGAGATTAAGACCAGATAGCGCAGCTCAAGAATTCCAACAAGTTATACAAGAGCAATAAGAGTTCCAAGTCACCAGTGCTCATCAGCGCATGTCAAAGGTAACCAATATCCAGCTAACTCTCAGGTAAGTATCTTCTTCCTCCCTACTCTTCTCTCTCTGTTGTATCACCCCTCCTTGCTGGTCTTCTCCCTAGCTTATGACCTTGCTGTATCTTCTCTCCCTACATGCATACACACTCGTACTAACTTCTACTCCAAGATCTACTCTGAATACACCCACTGTTAACTCTACTGACCCCTCTGGAGTCTACTACTAACAACTAGCACTAACACTTCTGCACTGGCGCAGCTATGGCTGCCTTCTTCCTGCCAGTGCTAACTTCTCCTCAATCCCTCACTTAGCGCAGCACTCTGGCCTCAGCGCTCTGCCCCTCACATTAGCGCACAAGTGCACCACCAGTTCCACACTCTTTGCAAATGAGCAGTCTGCCCGAATATGAGGCTGGCCAGTCCTTTTGTAGTCTTGGTTTGCACTTCAACTCGTGCCAGCCTCTGTTTCTTGGGTCCTGACTGGTTCCGGTACCACATTCCCTCGGCCTGTCTGCTTCTGAATGTCAAGGCCTGGAACCTTCCCGAATTTCCATTGGACTGCTGCTGCTTGGGCCTTTGAGTCATGACTTTTCACTTGTGAACATGACTTTTGACTGTGGATAGTGACTCCTGCCTGTGGGTCACGACTTTTGCCTGTGATACTGCCTTTACTCGAGGGATGTGACTCTTCAATATGATTTTTCATTAGGAAACGTGACTCCTGCCTTTGAGACTTGACTCCTACTTGTGAATCTGCCTTTTCACTCAACTCTTCTGAATGAATGGCTTTTATTATGAGACGTGACTCTTGTCCCTGAAATGTGACTGTTTGCTGGGTGCCTGTTGGACCAGACTGCTGAGGTACCTGATTGTGACTTTTCTGAGTTTGACGAACTCGGCCTTTTCTTGACCTGGGCGTCTGACCCTGAGATCCGAATTTGGGTTCTGAATCGCGGAAGGCCTTTCAAAAGAAAGAAAGAAAGAAAGAAAGAACAAAGCCCGCAAGGGAGTGATCTGAAACGGTATGCACCAGTTCGCAGTAGCTGACGCAGGTCCCAGGATTCGATCCCTAGCCCTTACCTTACCTGTGTACAGTATCTGTGTAGCCCCCGAGAATTGAGCCCGCGCCCTGTGTGTTTCGTAGCAGTTGGTAGGTCGTCGTAGGTTCCGTAGGTCGTCGGGGTTCGATCTGTAGACCTGTCCAGTAGGAGTCCAGTCAGGTCTAGAAGTCGTAGCTGTAGGCTTCTCGAAGGGTCAAGGTCGTAGCTAGTCCAGTCCTGAAGAGTCAAGGTCGTAGCTGCGACAGGACCGAAAGGCCAAGTCCACGGCCTTCTAGAAGGGCCCGGTGGTGGCCTTTCCAGGTTGCCCACGTTTAGGCAGAGGCAAGTGGGCAAGTGGTGGAAGTCCACCGTGCAGAGTCAGCAGTCCCAGTCCAGTCAGTCCGGTCCAGTCAAGCAAGTACYGCCTGGGAYTGTGTGCACCGTGGGCCAGGGAAAAAGGGCAGACCGACGAGTGACAGAMGTATAAATCAAGAGGCYGCACACAGCCATTGATTCATTCCTGCGGAAGCCATGCGGAAGCGCTGTCTCAGCGGCTTGTGCGAGGAGGTCTGCAGTGACGCCCGAAGTCGAAGTGGGCGAGAGAGACRCAGTGCAGCCATAGCGATAGGGTAGAGGCAGCCATCGCTGCCATAGCTGTAGTRGAGTGAGGTGTGTGTGTTGTGTGAGTGTTCAGAGTRGTGCGTGYGGGATATCCAGGGTGATCCGGTGTATGTGAACAGTAAGTTGTGGGCGCTGAGTCGCCATAGCCAGTGGAAGTGAACTCTTATCTGGATGCCATATCTCTGAGTTCTGAGTGGGCGCATGTCGCCAGTTTGCTGCGATGCTGTTTACACGCATGAAAAGTGTGAATGAGACGAGTCTGATTGCATTGGTATCGGAGCTGGTACCCGCTATTCCATGCGCGCCGCCGTGTGCAGGCCCTGAAGCGCCATAGCAGATGTTGCATGCTGCGCCTGCACACGCGGGCCATTTTCCAGGCCCTGCGTCCTTCAGGCCAAAAGCCTGAAATCCAGGGCTTACAGGCCCCGTGTCTATTTCAGGCCGAAAGCCTGGAATCCAGGGCTTACAGGCCCCGTGTCTGTTTCAGGCCGAAAGCCTGAAATCCAGGGCTTACAGGCCCCGTGACGTTTCAGCCTGACAGCCTGAAAACAAGGGCCTATAGGCCCTCAGGCTTTAGCCAGAAGCTACCTGGGAACTTTTCGGAAGCTTACTCAGGCTTCAGCCAGAAGCTACCTGGAAACTTCCCGGAAGCTTCCTCAGGGTCTAGCACGTTTGGGCATCGGCAAGAGCAGCCTCCTGGACGGGCCAGCACTATATAAGACTGGCCCGCCCTACAGGCAGGAGGAGGGTATCAGTTGTCAGTTGTAGTCTTCAGGATTCAGGAGTAGTCTTCAGGAGCGCTGCAGGAGGCAGCGTTAGCAGTCGTCTTCAGCGCTGGGCGCTAGTAGGTAGGCTGTAGTCTTCAGCGCTGGGCGCAGGTAGGAGTAGAGTAGTGTTGGAGTTGGAGACGGCTGGCGGAGGCCAGGGAGACTTACCTGTGGCGCCATAGCTTCAGCT